GGTGACATATAAACCTTATTTATTTATTGGCCCCGGCACATGAGAGCATAAGTGATCTCAGTCATTTGACATGTAGGGGCGTCCATTAAGTGGGATTCTCTTTCAAAGGCTAATTTGCTTAGTCCTTCTCGTGTAAGTACACCAACTTGCCCCACCCCCAAAACCATGTCATACAAACCATAAATCACCTCAAACTCCTTCATCTCCACTCATTCTTGGAGCCGAGACACTTAGGCCAATAATTAATATCTAATGCTCTGTTAATTACACTCAAAGTAAGAAAGATAATTAGGTAGGACGTGATTTCATTCGGTGGCATCTTCATTGATTCTCTTATTTAAGACCTATCCACATGGATTATGTTAAATATGTCTTGAATTTTATGTACTCAGTCCGGTTAATCACCTGACCCGACATATTTTTTGTACGACCCAAAAGTGGAGAAAAAATTGAGATTTAGTTTGTGACACGGAGGGTTGGGCCGACAGGCCCAATTCGAAGTAAGCGGACAAATTTCTATGGCGGTCCGCCTAAGCTGGAGTAAGCGAACAAATGTCTCGAGGGGTTCGGGGGCTAGGCCCCCGAGGAAATTTTTTTGGGAGCCCTATTTATACTGCGTCTAGGTTTTTTCATTGATTAAGAGAGATTTTCGTTTTGGGAGAGATTGGTGAGCCGTGAGGTTTTGTTAAGTCGATACTTTTGAAAACTGTACTCTCTTTGCTTATAGTGCAATCTTGTTTTGCCTCGCCCATGGACGTAAAACACCTTGTGATCGAACCACGTAAATTATTGTTTTTCCGCGTTTGTTTCGAACAGATTATATATCCCGAAGAAGAACACATTTGTTCAAGAAGTTGCGTAATAGACATCATTCACAATTATCTTTAATGAAGTTTGCACGTGACTTTGCCCGTATTTGAAATCCACCGATCAGAAGACTGATTGAAGAAACCAGTGATGGGGTAAAATATGACCTCACCAGTTTTTGCGTGCCTCGATCAATCCCGCCGAACTGAGCGCCAGACTAGCCAACAAAGTATGATTCAATTGCCATTGGAAATCGCCATTTTTGGCCGAAAACCGCACGGAAGGTTGGGGAATGGAGGGGATGACACTGTGAAGCCTAACTAGGTTAGGTCCACTCAGCTTATTTACCTTAAATGAGATTGGAAAAGATTTGAAAATCAATATAAGAAATAGATGCTCCTGATTCTGATAAAGTTGTTCCCTCTGATAATCTTAGTTCCATGGTTTCAACAATTACCTGGGCCTTTTTGAGCTAACTAGTTAATCTTTAAGCAGATTTTTCTTTCTGAACCGCTATCCTTTTTTAGGAGGATAGTCGCAATCAAACTAAACAATTATGGGATGTTCAATCTAATTATAAAATATCAATGAAGAAAATCGAGATGGGTCTAAGTATTGGTACATCACTTTGTTAGGATCCGAAATGCTAATACACAATGGGGCATTGGTCGAGTGTACTTTATTTGGAATAATTTAATTGTCAAGATACTAATCGTACGACATAAGAATTGCCAATGCATTGGAAACTCTAAAATTTCCTTAATTGGTTGACTGTGGCAATTATTAACAACATTGTATTAACATAAATGAATAAGAGATTACCACTGGAGATGTAGCTAAGATAGATTCATAAACTTCTATGGTGCCTTTAATTTCACATAACCTTTTATTCCTTTTCATTGATAATAATTTTCCGATCAGATTTTTTATCTCCTCCAAATGCTGGAGATCGTCATCGATGAATGACGATGCTTGTTGACCCTGATTTTTGTTAGGCTCAATTGCCTAGAGATAGGAGTTCTCTTTTTGTTGCAAATAAAAAAAAACGATTTGGGTCCGAGACAAGCAGGGCTCGACCCATAACCGGAGAATCAAGAAAAGAAAAAAGGGAAAGATGCGCCTAGAGCAAAACGAAAGTGTCATCAATATTCCTAATAGACAGAGGAACGAAAAGAGTGAGGTCGCGAAAGCTGTTATTTGCGACAGAGAACGGAAACCATCCAAATTGTCACTTCCGATCGCCATCAGTGTCGAGCTTCGTTCTTCTTCGCAAACCATCCTCTCCATCCTCCATCCTCCATTTGCATGCTCGTGTCGTACTGTATAATTGCATTGCGCATTCAGCCTCTGTGCTTCTATGACCTGATCGAGCTTTGAAACTCTATGTGAGGCACTTGGCGTAGCGTAGGTCTCTAGGTCGAAGACTTTCCCTGAGTTGCGGGAGTTTGATGGCAGTGGAGGCATTGATTGGGCGCTGTAACCTCATCGCACAGAATCCGAGTCAATTCGCCAATAAACTAGCATGGATTTTTGGCAGATGTCCCCAATCCGAGTCCATCCTCACCGGATCTCGTAGGGTTTCGCGTTCACAACTCAATGCAGTTCTCGTCGTCGCTCGTTTCCCCTCCAAGTCTGAAGTTGTGCTCGATAAATGGCCATACTTAGTCATTATCGAGCTCCTGCACTTGATTCCCTCCTCTTTCGACCTCTCGTTTCAGCCGCAATCCTTCAACAATGAGGCCATTGCTTCGTTCTTCATCGATTTCTTTATTACCTCTCCAAAGCTACTGAGTTGTCGCCAGATTTCGCCGCCAAGAACGTTGCCTTCACCAGAGACAACGTGGTCGCGCCCGTTCTGCAGTCAGATAAGCATTTCTTTAGCCCCTAGGCATTTCTTTAGGGTTTTATCCCTCCGGCCGCTTTAGACCCTGCGCCTTTCTATACTGTTTTGTCCCCTTTTGCCGTTCATAGGTTCTTAGCCCCAAGGCATTTCTTGAGGGTTTTATGCCCTCGGTCTCTCATAGGTTTTAGCCCCTAGGCCTTTCTGTAGGGTGTTATCTTCTTTGCTGTTTATCGTGTTTTAGTCCCTGGGCATTTCTTTGGGGTTTTAGTCCCTTCGCCTCCGAGCTATAAATCTTCTTTTGCCTCTTAGGTAATGTCGGATAACTATTCAATTCTTTCTAGTTTTCCTTAAAAAAATCAATTAAAAAAAATCAATTTCACCCAAAAAATAAGAATAGGTCTCATAATAGACGCAGATGCTCAAAGCTTGAAGTAAGGTTTAAAGGTATATCTTCACGCAAAATTCAGGTGTCGTTTTGTCTTTAAAAGGAACCTCTCTTTAAGTTTTCTTTCAAGGAAAGACGGCGGTTGACACCTGAATTTTAGTCAATAATAATTCAAATTTTCGTTCTTGTAAAAGCACTAAAATAAGAAAAATAGATAATAATAAGTAAAAAGACAGCCCAATTTATCCATTTATGTATTCGCGTTGGCCCAATTCATGGAAACCAATTTGCATCACTTTTGCCCATAAGCCCGGTTTAATTTGAAATTCATTTCAGCCCATGAACTTGGATCCAATTTGTACAAGCCCGATTCGTAAAGAGCCCATCAATCCGCGAGCCCAGTTTATCTCTCTATTATTCTCCCTATCCAGTTTTCTGGAAAAAGGTTAAAAAAGAAATGAAAAAAAGAAACCCGAAAGTTCATGCGCATACGAAGAAGGTGACTCGCACAATTGCTTCTAGAACCTGCTGAGCAGAATCAGTTTTCATCGTCAAAGGGATATACACGTAAAGGAGAGCATGTTTTGATCCTTGGACGAAGCGATCATCCTTCCTCTTTGCCGTGCTAAAAACTTTTTGGATTGGAGCGATCGGATTAGTTGAGCTGTGGAGTTTCGAAGCTTTTTCGTTCTGTAATACTCATATCGGAGATCCGACATCTGTGCTTGGTCAATCGAGATTCAAAAGCGGCTCTGTTTTTGGCTGAACAGGTACGAAGAAGAGTCCTCCCGTTCGAGACATCTTTCGCCGTCTCAAACACTTGTTGCAATCTTCACATCGCCGATAAACCAGGGTAACGTTTATCCCTCTTCTTGCTTTGAGCGTAATATTATGTTGAGTTGCGCAAACGTTGCTTGCGTGAGAATCTGAGTTGATCTGAGTCTTCTCTTAATGACTTGTGACGACGACCTTATCGTTCTAATTCTCTGATTTAAGGTGACAAATTTTCATTGCACACCAGCTGTTCGTTGATATGGGCTTGTTACTGTTTTAAATGAGTTCGGGCTTGATTTATTTAATAGGGGTTTGGGCCGAGTTCGAATTTTAATAAATTTTTTTTGGGTTGAGAGGGGCCTGATATAATGGCCCAATTTTGTTTCCATGGTCCAGACCGTAAGATTTGACCAGTTCATATCTGATTGGGCTTAAAGGCCCGGCCCGAGTCCCTGTTTTCCAGATAATAAAAAATTAAAACATAAATTTCATAAAAAAATCCGAAAAAAAAAACTGAAAATTGGTGGCTTTAGTATCATATTTAACTTAGTTTCATTTTTGTTAATCTTCACATGGCTTTGGGTTTTAGTGGACAGCTCTGATTTAATCTAGTTTTAGATGGTTAAATCGTTTAGAAAAGAAATTGAACTCAATTTCAACTAACGTCATTGGGTTACTATCCCGAGGCTTAATAACAAGGCCATGTTACTTTAGTGCACTGTATCTTTTTTTACTTGTTCTTCATTACTATTTTTGATGCGTTTGTTATGATTGCTTTTATATCATTTTTTGTGTTGTGATTTATTTTCATAGTTGAGTGGTTAGGTTTCATTCTAGGATCGGAAATTCGATGTTGGCAGAGCAGTGCATAGTTTTTGAAGTCCTATTTTGTCTCTTGTAGAATTCACAAAGATTCAGTGGATCCTGCAAAGCTTCAAGCTACATTGACTGATAAGTCTCTGATCGAGACTTGTGACTTGAGGAGGGCACTTGAGTGAGATGGTAGTACTACTAGAAGCACAACTCAAGGAAATAAGTCCAAATCTCGATAAATCTCAGAGTAGGAACATTTTCTCCTTGCTCTCAATATCGTCTGCACCTTAAGATGCATCGGAAGAGTTTCTATATAAATTATCTTTGTATGTACAGGTGCAGGAAAAAAGTTGCATTATATAGTGAACAAGTTGATGATCTTAATCACATCACTCAACAACGAGATAACATAAAGAAACAGTATGATGTGTGGAGAAAGAAGAGGTAAGAATAATTATCTTTTATCTTGCATAATGACATAGAAATAGTTCTAACTGGTATTTTCATATTAGGCTGGATGAGTTCATGGTAGGATTCAATACAATATTTCTGAAATTAAAAGAGATGTATCGGGTTCTTATTTTTCTCCCCTATTTGAGTAATTGTATATCGACACAACTTGTCTGCCTGCACATGTCTGCATAGGTTCATGACAATATACTCAACTCTCTTTGTTTCTCTTTAATAGGTGATTTGATCTTTCCATATTAATAAACTTCTTCTTGATGCATGGTTAGCCCTAACCGTTCTGGATGATGACAGTGCTCCCACATCTCTTGCCTTGACTAGTCCATCTTCCAATTACCTTGACTTTTCAATCACTGGGCTCTGCTTTTTGTGCGCTTGTAAAAAACTAGCTTCCAAACTATATCCGGTGCTGAGCGCCTGTAGTACTTTTCCTTCTGATCCTTATCTTAGAGTAAACAGATGTTCACACTAGGAGGTGATGCAGAACTTGAATTGGTCGACTCTTTGGATCCCTTCTCTGAAGGTGTGGTCTTCAGTGTCAGGCCACCAAAGAAAAGCTGGAAGAATATTGCTAACTTATCTGGCGGTGAAAAGGTAACTTGAGGACATAGCAGTTCTGCCCCTCTTATTTTGTGAAGCTTTATGTGTTGGAATGACAATTGCCCTTCTGAATCTTCAGACTCCCAGCTCATTAGCTCTTGTCTGTGCCCTTCATCACCCCAAACCCACTCCGCTTATGCGATGGATGAAATCGATGCCACTCGAGGTACTCAGTGCCCATTCCAGAGTTCATTTCTTTTTTGGGCATGCTGTTGATTTTACCTCTGTTCCAAGCTTAGTTGTTTGTGCTATAATTTCTCAGACTTCAAAAATGTTTCTATTTGTGGGACACTATGTGAAAGATCGAACAAAGGACGCCCAATTCATTATTATAAGGTACATTGTGTAGGAAATAGTCTAAATATATTTCAGATGACAATGTTCTCCCAACTCACCATATTCATGTTTTCTCTATGCAATGTGCAGCCTCAGAAAAAACATGTTTGAGCTTGCGGATTGACTTCTGGGAATATACAAAACTGAGAACTGCACTAAGAGCATTACAATCAATCGTGGGAGTTTAGTGGTGCGTGAAGATTTTGCCTGATTCGTCAGTTAAAATATTTTGAGTAAGCATGATGTTCTCTTTCATGACTGCTTTTTTCAATAAAGTTCTTGCTAACTTGCGTAGCTTGCCATCCTCAGTGGCCTATAATGTGATGAATTTGCTTGCTACTTACGTATAGTACAAGATTGGTTGTCCCTAATGTAAGAGCTGAGGTTTTGAATCTCTCTCTCTCTCTCTCTCTCTCTCTCTCTCTCTATTGTCATAGTTGTTAAGTAGCTGCAAGCTGTAGTATCCATTGGTGTTGGCAGGGATTTTTGTTTTCCTGCATAATAATTCCAACGAAATCTTCGCATCAACTCATTAATGATGGAGATGCCATTCTCTTACCCTGCTATTTACCTGGTCATCAATCTCTCAAGAGATCTTTTCCTATTTTGGGTTCTTCCAGGGATTTTGTTTTTTTTTTTTTGCTAGGAACCAGAAGTTGAAATGCCAATTTTTGAGAAGTTAATGATGTTAGATTTCGGGATGAATTGGGAGGGTTGGCGTACTTGTAAGATTTTAAATTAAGGTTTGGGCGAGGTTATTAGCTCACTAATATGTTGTCCTAGTTGGTGCACGATCCCAAATTACTAATCTCATGACCAAGTAAGACCCGAGCGAATATCCAAGTGAGTGGCCTTGAAATTATGAGCATGTTTATGTGTGTATATAATTTATATCTTGCGAATGACACTCTTTAACATTTTCTTAACCCAAAGTAACTGAAATTTTCACAATATATAAATATTGACACATACATTCACATTTAATTTTTACAAGATTTATACGGTATTTTGGAATAAGGGATAAGTTTTTTGCTTTTCGAAAAATAACAAACAGGCCCTATGCTAAGTAAAAATGACCGCCTGCCACTACAGAGGAAAGAGAAGTGTGCGTTATGCACCTTTCAAAAGTTGTATACTAATTAATGGGGATTAACACAAACAGTCCCTCAACTTTTTCCCAATGTGCAATTCGGTCCATGAACTTTTAATTTATTCAATATAGTCCCTGAACTTTAGGTTAATGTTCAACGTGGTCCTTGAACTTTTAATCTGTTCAATGTCATCCCTAAACTATATGAAAATGTTCAATATAGTCCCTAAATTTGAATTAATGGAAATGACTGCATTGAACATTTTCATATAATTCAGGGACTGAATTAAACATATACCAAAAGTTTATGGATGACATTGAATAAATTAAAAATTCAGGAACCATATTGTACATTGAGTTAAAGTTCAGGGATTACATTGGACAAATTAAAAGTTCAGGAACCAAATTATACACTGAACCAAAGTTAGGAGATTGTTTGCGTCATTTTCCCTAATTAATGAGACTAGAGCATAAAAAGACTACTCACACGACCGCGCTTATTTTCGAGGCCCAAGACCTTATGCATGCATTTTGTCCGATTTGAATGGTTTTGTATGGTCATCTTTAGAATGGGTCTCTACTTATGTAAAGTCATAATTTCTCTCTAACTTGATGTGGAACTTAGAAATGTTACAAACTCCATATTTATTTGGTTTAGCCCATACAACTTAGGATTGGAAAATTATCCAAAAAGTCATAAACCTATTGCACTTTTATCAATTCAGTTCTAAACCTTTTAATTTTGCCAACTGAGTCCTGAACCTTTTCACTTTTTGCTAATTAAGTCTATTTGGTCAATTTTGGCCGGAAATCACTAACGTGGATGCCGACCGTTCTACGTGGCACGGCCGGCATTGACATTGACAATTTTTAATAATATTTTAACATTTCTCAAAAAGTTTTATTAATTAATTTTTTCTTTTCTTTTTCTTTTTTCTCATTTTTTTTTTTACAACTACGGTGGGCGAGGGCCGCCGAGCCCTCGCCAGTAGCAGGCGAGGCCATAGCGGCCATGGGCGAGGGCTTTGCAGCCCTCGTCGACCGTAGGCAAGGGTCGGGGCCCTTGCCTAAACCTGGCGAGGGTCAGTCCGACCAGCTACCGCTTCAGCTTTTCTTCTACAACTCAAGGCAAGCTGAATGACATCGACGAAGACAAACAATGAGTTTGACAATGATGAAGACAAACGATGAGTCCAACGACGATGAAGACAAACGATGAGTTTGCCTAGGCATGCGTGCAGGCCGCAAAGCCCTTGCCTAGACCATCATGACTGCGGGCGAGGCCACCTCGCCGAGATCTAGGAAAGGGCATCCTAGCCCTCGCCCACAGCTGTTGAGGGCTCGATGGCCCTCGCCCGCTGCCGGCGAGGGCCCGGTGACCCTTGCCGGCCATAATTGTAAAAAAAAATAAAGAAAAGAAAAGAAAAAGAGAAAAAGGAAAAAGAAAAGAAAAAATTCAACAAATATTAATATATTATTAAAAATTGTCCACGTGTGCGCCGGCTGTGCCACGTAAACAGCATGTGTCCACATTAGTAATTTCCAGCCAAAATTAGCTGTATGGACTCAATTGAAAAAAAAGTAAAAAAGTTTATGACTCAATTGACAATATTGAAAGATTTTGGACCGAATTGGTAAAAACGCAATTGATTTAGAACTTTTTGGACAATTTTTCCAACTTAGGATCACACCAAATAGACACTGATAATCCCAATTTATTCGTGTCTAATGTCTCAACCTCTCAAGGAAGTAAATTAAAGCATGTTGTTCCACTTCATAAAATAAGAGAATCTCAATACTTTCTACTCAGGTGAGTGACCTTTTGACTTTCATCTTTAGCCCTAACTCGGAATTGATTTTCATTTCATTCGTTCACATCGATCTACTCCACATATGAATAATCTCAAGACCGAACTCTTGCTTCATGTTTGGTACCAGAAATGCCCGTTTCTTTTGCCTTTTGAACAGTCCAAAGAAAAATGATCATTCCTTTAATAAATGGAATCATGATTTGATTTCTATTTTCTGTAATTATAAATACAAGGCTCACACTATTATCGATTACAAAAATAATAATTAAATGATAAATTTAGAAATATGAACTGAACTACTTTACAATTATAATTTTAATGTCGATGATAATGAATTTAGTTTTTACATATATTAATTCAAAATAGTTACGGATATCAAATTAAAATAGCTTTTACAGATATCAAAGTGGGTACAGGCTCTTGCTATTTTCCAAGTTGTGTACATGCTAAAAAACTATATTACAACTCGGTGCTGTGTTAATGTTACTATGTGAACGTAAATTTTTTTTTATATAAACTCGTGTCGACACCTAAATTTTGGCGACTCATTTAGGCTTTCATTGCATAGAATAATTAGGGATCGACCCCTATTGACACCTAATATTGATCTATTTAGTCATTTAATGCATAAGGAATCGACCCCTAAAAAAAAATCTTTTTTTCCATAGTTCGCATTTGCATTTCATTTAGGTCATGCATCACATGCAAGTCACATGGCCTCCACACGATTTTGCGGCGAAACGTCGTGCGTACAATCAAGGGCGTGAGTGGACTTCTGCATGGGGGGTTGCGTGCGGTCAGAGAGGAGAGAAGAGAAAGGAGAGAGAGAGAGAGAGAGAGAGAGAACGTGCGCGCGGAGGAGAAAGGAGAGAGGAGAGAGAAAAATAATAAAAAAATTAACTTCAATCAAATATTAAATGCGATCCGATGACTCAAATTCAAAATCGAAAGCGATCTACCGGTCCAAAATAAGCCTCGCATATAAAAAGGGACAAAAGCTGAATTAATTAAATCAAACTATAGCGAGGGAGGTTTACTAGTCCAAATTCGCACCCGGTCAAAAACTCCCCTTTTTCCATTATTCCTGACAATCTCAACGCTGGCTACGATAATATTGACACCGTCCAATTTATTTCGTCCTGAAACTCCCAAAAATCGACTGCCAAGTTCGGGGTCTAAATAACGGCCAGATTTGATCGAGTGCGATTCTAGCGAAATCTCTAATTTAAAATGATAACCGGGAGTGATCAGTTCCCGGGCGAGATTTTGCTATAAGCACACTGACAAATTACGCATTTTATAAAACCCAAAAATGGGCCGAAATTCGGGATGTCACAACTCTTCCCCCCTTACAAAAATTTCGTCCTCGAAATTTACAATCCAAACCCGACTACTCAAACAATTGGGGGTACTGTTGTCGCATCGCCTCCTCGCTTTCCCATGTGGCACCTTCCGTCCCGTGATGTTCCCAGATAACTTTAACCAACGGGATCGTCTTGCTCCTCAAAACCTATTCCTTCCTGTCCTCGATCCGAACTAGCTTGTCCACGTACGACACCCTGTCGTCCACGTCTATTACCACATGATTCAGCACGTGGGTCGGATCCGGTTCGTACTTCCTCAACATCGACACGTGGAAGACGTTATGAACATGAGATAAATTTGGCGGTAGCACGAGACGATAAGCCAAGGTGCCTATTCTCTCTAAGACCTCGAATGGGCCCACGTACCTCGGGCTCAATTTTCCTTTCTTACCAAACCGTGACATTCCTCTCATCGGCGACACCTTGAGAAATACGTTGTCCCCTACTCGAAACTCCAAAGGCCTACGTCTCCGGTCCGCATAATTCTTTTGACGGCTCTGAGCAGTCTTAAGCCTGTCCTGAATCACTTAACTGTTTCGATTGACTGCTGAACCAACTCGGGACCCGTGATGCTCCTCTCACCCACTTCATCCCAACAAACCGGTGTTTTGCAAACCCTACCATACAATGCCCCAAACGGTGCCATTCTAATACTCTGCTGATAGCTATTGTTATAGGCAAGCTCAACCAAGGGCAATTATTCTTTCCAACTTTCCCTAAAATCCAATACACATGCTCGCACCATATCTTCCAAAGTCTGAATCGTCCTCTCAGACTCGCCATCCGTCTGCGAATGATAGGCCGTGCTAAACTGTAATCTCGTTCCTAATGCCATATGAAGACTTTTCCAAAAATTCGCAGTAAACCGGGGATCACGATCCGAAGTGATTGATACCGGTACTCCATGAAGACGAACACCCTGTCGCACATATAACTATGCCAGCCTTTCTAGCTCGAAGTCCTTTCGCACCGCCAGGAAGTGCACTGACTTGGTCAATCTATCTACTATCACCCAAATAGAATCATGTCCCCTCTGGCTTCTCGGCAGTCCCGTTACAAAATCCATTGTGATATGTTCCCATTTCCATTCTGGGATTTCCAACGGTTGCAACATTCCACCAGGCTTACAATGTTGTGCCTTCACTTGTTGGCACGTCAAACACTTGGCCACATGCTTG